CATTTAAGATTTAAAAGAGCTTTTAAAAAATAGTGGTTCAATATTTAGTAATCGACAATTAGATCGTTTATTTTCAAAGCGTGATTCATATAAACGTGTTGATCGTCTTATAAATTGTTTTCCACAAAAGAAAACCCTTATTAAACGTAATCGTTTACAACAAAATGATTTAGAAGATAAAGCATCTAGTTCTTTAAAAGAAGAACAACAATTAAAAGAAAAATTATATTTATTTATTTCATATATTAAACAACTTAAAGAACAGGTTAGATGAATTTTTTAAATTGATTATCGAATTTTATGAAAATTTTTTCAGGTAGCAAAATAAATTTCGCTGAAAAAATGTCAAAATCAATGTAATAATATTATGGGCGAAATCAATACATTATAAAGATTTTTTATTTATTTTTCTTTTAAAAACTGGGCAACGCATATTGACGAGGGATTGATTTTATCATTGTGCACTGATGAATAAAGCAGATTCATTATTAAAAATGTAATCGCAAATAGATGTTCGATTAAAGCGAGCTTAGAGCTGTTTGAGTGTATTTCAAAAGATTTTTTTTCCTTAATTGAATCTAATTCATATTAAACTACAAATATAGTAGTTTGAGATTGTATCTCATGAAAATAGAACGTAAGAAAAAAGGAAACTGCCCATTCATCATTGTTTCGTTTCCATGGTAACAATTATATTTTAAATATATATTGCCATTTTTTATATGTACTGTTAATCAAGATTCGTCCATCAATGAATATAAAAAAGAGAGCATAGTTATAAAAATGCAGACATAATCGTTAATACGAATATATGGCATTGATTACACGCTTTGATGATCTACTCGGTCTAGTATTGATCGATTTGTTCTCATATCTATCGTCTATCGATATTCTTTGGGTATTTACTGATCTTAATCATCGTCTAACAATGTTAATAATTGAACATGAACTCTTTTATCATATTAACTTATCACTTGCACATTATCATCAATTTAATAGAATTCTTCGTTTTCTTTCATTGAATGATATTCAATCACCTTCAATTGAGAGTGATGGATCTCCGTTTCAATTAACTCGTTGGCCTTATTTATCTCATTTGAAAACTCTGCGTATCATTGGTGTATACAATCATGACGATCTTTTGCTCTTTCTTTTGCTTCATGCAACCACACTCACTCATTCATCTCGTTATCAAATCAAATGAAAGACTGGTCTACGTCAGTATCAAGGATTATTTTTTAAACGTACAAAGCTTTACAAAGGAAGGATATTGTTGAAGCAAATTTTGAAAATGCTGAAGGATTGTTCTGTTCAATTGATTCTTCATGTCTTGAGTCGAAATAAAAAGAAAATTCTATTAAGAATTACGTGACTATTAATGGATTGTGTCAAAGATAAACTTTTATTAAAATATTTCGATCGGAATAAAACTGGAATAGAATACGTTGAAGATATCATGAAAGATAAGTTGATTGCTCTTTTAGTTATCCGTAAAAGTGAAGTCACTTTTCAAAAAGGGTGCGGGTGTAGTCTGAGTATGGGTTATATCTTCATCGACATATATGCACTTTGTCACAACGAAATCCACTCACACGCACACCCAGTGGCGTAGCCAGGATCTTTTTAGCATTGGGGTATTTCCCAGCGGAGCTCCTTTGAGGATTGGGCAGCCATGGGCAATTCAAAGTTTCATTCGGCTATGTTTCCTTTGCTGGCCCATTACACGTATTAGACACAAGAGCATACCTGACCTCCAAACTCAGGAAGGGTAAAACGTTTTTCATTCAGTGAAGTAAAAAGAATTACTGTATTAATTTATATCCACATTGGTGAGCAATGGACAATTACTATCATTCTAAAAAAGTATTGGGCAATTCCCATCATTCTTAAAAATCATTGGGCAACTGTCCAATGCCCCCTGGCTACGCCACTGCGCACACCCTACACCCACACACCCATTTCAATATTTATGAGAAATTCCCATGGGGGAAAAGCTTATTTTTTTGATTTAAATCAAAAGTGAAAATTAAAAAAAAGTCAGAAAAATCAAAAACGTCAAAAAATCTGATTTTAACTGTTTCCTCCTTGAAAATTTTTTTCTCGACTTCTTTTCTCAATTATCTTGAATGAATTCAATGTTGAAGAGAATTTTATTTTGATCAATGAATTATTTATCCCATCAAATGAACAGTTAATGAAAGAGATTTTTTATTTTCTTATGTAATGCTCTTTTTTTCTCTTTAGTCAATTGTGTTTTATATCCTTTTCAAGTCGACAAAAACATCAAATAACTAATCGATGAAATTTGGCAATAATATTGTCCTGGTGGAATTGGTGATGATTATCAATTCGTTTTTTTTATTAATTCAAATTGAATGAGAATTTTATTGATTGTTCAAATCTTGATAGAAATCGAATTTCAGTTAGCTTATCAAGTATCAATAAATTCATTTTGATTTAATTCTAATCAACTCTGTTCTATCGACATTATTAAAACTTCTTTGATCATCGTTAGTTAAATCTTGGCCGAAGTTATGTAATGCATAAACTAACAGATCGAACAATTTAATTGATTAAATCGATTTGAAAGTCAAACAATAAATTGAAATGATTTAGTAATACCACGATGGAGATTCAAAATATATAAATCGAACTATTCAAATGAATCCTCTTCAATGTTACCGAATCTTTATTTAATCTCATTAAAAATCATTTCACAAACAGGATAATCAACAAAACTATCAAACAGTAAACAATTCTTTCGAAAATCTTTCCAAAAGAGAAAAAGAAAATTATTTTATTTATTAGAAACGATGATGAAAATTGGGTTTGCTATCATAATAAAGATATATAAAGAGAATCAGCATCTATTTATGATTGAATTTATGGAACATGCCTTTATCGGACTATTTCAGATTATTATTTATTTGAAAATTATCTTGAAAAATCTGATTTAATTCTTCATTTAGTTGGACAATTCTTGGTTTGGATATAGGGTTAGTACTTATATTCACCCACATCCACAAGGACCAAGAAGAACGTCTACGTTTGGTTGAACTGACAGACCTTGACGAAAACGATGCTCGCCAATAGTCCGAGAATCGATTATTCGTTTTTTTGCGACACATCATTTTTTCTCCATATTCGAGATTCATGCTTCGCACCGCACTTCGTACTCGATTTTCACTCGAATAGCATCTAGTCTGTTGCATGCATAGATCAATCATCAAGTAGACGTAACAATTTTTAAATCCGAAACAAAAATTGAATGAAAAAGAAAAATATCAAGTTTTTAAATGTACAAGAAAACTTTTTAAGCTATTTGTATAAGATTACCACTTATAATTTTTCTCAATGTTTGAGTAAGTGAAAAAAGACTTGAACAAAGAATTATTTAAACTTCACTCCTTTGAATATGTTCAGCATCATGAAACATTGCTTGAAGAATATTTTCGACACAACAATGTTCAGCTTGAAACAATGATCCATCACTGGATGAAGAAATATTTCATGGTGAAGGCTAAGCTCTTGTCAGAAAATAAAACAACAAACAGAAAATCTTTTTTTCAAAAACAAAAAACTACAGGAAACTATTCCATCATTTTGCTGATGAACTACCGAGAAAATATATATATTTATATATCAAGTATGATAATGATGGGAACCAATAACCAGCTAAATGTTTGATGTATTTTACTATGTACGATTCGATTTCGTCGCCTTTATGATTGTAAACGGTGAAATACAAACTATTTACATGCGTTATATTGTTGTCAACTTGGTCGGTGTATTACAATCATACTTATACGGCGCGTATAAAGATGTGAAGACCGTATATTTCTAAGACAGTCTTAACTACGGAAACGGCAACTTCTCTAAATAGATGGATAAAACCTTGGGTATCACAGTTTTCATATACAAATACCATGATTTCATTGCGTGCCTATCTATATACGCATATTATCGGGGAAAAAAGCTTGCTTATTATATTACATGCGCAGAAAGGGTGGACAACGTATAGATAATAACGAACGATAGGAGTCTTTCACCAATCTTATTTCTTATTATTTTTGCCCTTTTCATCCCATCTGTGCATCGCAGTTTCACTCACTAAAGGCATTGCTCAAGCATTACTGAAGTAGTTAAATTATTATCTATCTCCAAAGTAAAACAAAAATCTTTAGACTTTTGAAAAAGTGAATCTTCTTCATAAATAATCCGATTTCAGAAACTATTCTAACAAAAAGAAAGTTTGAGATTTATTACAATTACCGTTAAAGCAACCGAAAATCGTCCATTCGAAAATATAACACTTTCTGGGGAATTTCATTAAATACAGAAATTTCTATCAATACGCTATCTAATTATATATTTATATATAACGTAAGTAATGTTAGAACTGGCTTCATTTCTTTAACTGCGTTGAATTTTAGATGCAGAGTTTGATTCTCTATCGAACGGTACCATTTTCGATGTGGGTTATCTGGCAAAAAGATTTCACTTGGATCTGCCTGCAGGTATGGTTAATGCTCTGTGTTTGTAATACGCGTTGGCAAGTCAAGGATGGGTTGAAAGAGAAGCGTTAAATTCCCAATGTCGACTCATATTCTCCATCACACTCACACTCACACGCTTGTTAATCAAGGGAAACGCGCTTTGAATAGTGTAATCACAATTTAATACACTGGTTTTTATTGTTATTTTGATTGAAAACGGAAAATTATATATTAATTCTAAAGAAATTCATTTTATAATCTTCACGAAATTCTTTTGCAACCGTAAACTAAGATTGATTATGTCCGTCTATAGAATACAACTTATCTTTAGACTAGAGAATTTAAAAAAGACGCGTTTTAATAAATGAAAAGAAATTTCTTGTTATGATTATGATTGTTTATATATGGACAAAGACCAAAATTAACAAGGAAACAAAAAAAAAGAAGTGAATGGAGTGTTATGTGATATAGAAAAAAAGCATGAATATAAAGTTCACATATCGAAAAGTTTTTCTAATTCACATTTGATAGCGTCAAAAATTGCTGACTGGTCAGCTTGCATTTTTGAAATATCAGGAATCAATTCTTGATCTGTATCATCTATTTTATAATCCGAATCATCTATTTCATCATCTGAATCATCCGTTTTCTCTAATCGATAGAATGGATACCATGCATCCTTTAGTTTCTTTATTAAAGCGAATAAATTTGAATAATGTTTATTTGTACGTTTAGTATCTTTCCATAATTGCGATGACTTTAATACTCTTTCTTTCACATCTTGTAATATTCGAATTGCATCAATACTTCGTTTGATATCAGCATTAACCATGGACATTATAATATTTAATGCACATATTAAATCGAACTCTAGTTCATAAAAATAATATGGCATCCATCTAGTTAATACTTTAGAATAGTAATCTAAAAATGGTTCACTAGCATATGAAAGTGGACCAATGATGTGTATGCTGCCTCCCTTGTTATTGATATTAACTGCAATGGCAAAACCGAAATCAATTAATTTTATATGATTACTATCACGATCTAACATTAAATTTCGTGGATGTATATCACGATGAATAACACCACAATCATATAAATAATGAACTATATCAATAAGTTGTTTCGATTGTATCAATGATAATGATTCTATGCATTGTAATTCTTTTTCATAGAATAAATATTTATCTAAATACAAACAATAAAAACTTGAGAAATAGTATAAAATATTATTTCAAGTATAGATGAATTCAAATGTAGTCTTGTACCAAAAAAAAAATTACTTGTGTAAAATATTCTTTTCAATAATTTTTTCATCTAACTAAGAATCAATCGTATAAACAGCTGTTTAATCATAATGGTAGATATGAACGAAAGTTAAAGTCTTGAAAATTATTCTAAGATGTTTTGTTTTCTTTTGTCCATAACTATAACTAAGCTACGTTCTTTATTAGAAACATCACATCAATCACTAAATTTCGTGATAAAATTCTCAAAATTAGATCAGATATGGGATCGGTTCAGATTTCTTTAATATTTAAGCTGAAACAATTTAATTTTTTTACTATGTTTTAAGTTCAAAATAATTTCTGCAATAGATAAAGATTGAAAATAATGGGACACATGCGATGTATGAGCAGTGACAACGATAATTTATAGATTAAGCAGTTCATTGTGGGACACGAGCTTTGCTAACAAGATGTTCGCCAATCGGCGGATATCCTGTGTACTTTGACCAACATTTCTCATATACTTACGTCAGCACGTATCTCAGAATTCGGCCAACATGAGGAGACATAATTCATAGATGACGAACTCTCTATTGACTATGATTGATTTTTTGTCATTCTATTCTTTTCTGACCAGAAAATATATCAATATTGTCATTGATACTTTTGATATCTCTTCTCATTCAAATTTCTTGAATTATACATAGAAGATTGTTTAAACTGCATCAATTTAACAAAAAACCGAAATCGTGTTGAACTTTAGAACCCAACAGATTCCATCTCTGATTCAGACTAAAAGTAAGTTTGTTCTAGTAAACATCATTTTCAAAAACTTCGCGCTTTGTGTTATCTATCTCGTTTATCAAACAATAGTTTTTAAATCTTGAGTTTTTCCTCTCATAGTGAACAATATTGTTAATGAAACTGGTCGATACAACGTTGATCTTTTACAAAAATAATGCGACGAAAATTTTACTAATTTAATTTAGTTAATTAAAAAATATGGTTTTGGTTAGAAAGATAAATGGGTTATTTGAGCATTTAGCTTGTAAGATGAGTTTCGTTCATATATAATACATATTTTTCTTGCAAAACTCTACTCCTATCTATTTATCCTTCTTTTTCTTACATGAACATATAAGACTAGAGATACGTATATCCATACTCTTTCTATATATAATGTTACTCTAAGACTAGAAACATCTGTTCAAAAAGTAACCTTTAATTTTTTCTTGCACAACTATTCCTTTATTTCTCAATATTAAAATAGATTCTACTGCATATCACTCATAAAATTCACTTCTACAACGGAATCTATTTAAGTAGTATAATTTTGAATTTGATACTTGGAAATGCTAGCAGAGTTTATTTCCTACAGCGTTGTACTTTTACTCGAAACATTTTACTACAAGCAAAAGACTATTACCCATAAACGCGTTTACACAATAGTTTTATATGATGTTTTAAACTCTAGAAAGCGACGTCACTTAACACATTATAAATAAATACCGATGCATTCGAACATGTCGAAAATAAAAACTAATGCGTCTAACCACAAAAACTCCATGTTTTTTCGGTGAAAACTGACTTTGGAGTGCTAATTCCTATAATCTATTGTACTTATCTTCTAAGAATAAAAGCAAAAAATATAGTGTCTTGGCTTAATTAATCTTATTTGAAATGATGATTATTTTGTGTTTTTTTACAACAAATATTTTACTAATCATTATTATCCTTGTTTAAGATGTTGCTTCAGTCTATACGTATGTACTTTCAACTAAGGCAAAATCTCATAGTTTTATGTTGAAACAACAACATCAAACATAGTCTGATGATTTTATATACTTTAAAAAGATCTAAAAGCCAAAACGATAACTCTTATATTCAATTGATTGTATTATACTCCAGATATTTCTCTTCTTCATTCTTTAAATATATCACCAAGAGAAACAAAGCATTCGTTTCATTCGAAGTATCTGTTCTAAGTCGCTTTATTCAGACAAATTATACATTGAAGAACTATAAATTATACATTATCTTTCACGATAGACTTTGAATCTGTAGAAAAAGTCAAAAGACAAATGCCTTACCTGAAGACATTGGATGTAGAATATCTTGAAAAAATAAATGAAATTTATTTAAATCATTAAATCGTTTCAGTCTTTTTGCTATTATAACTTCTTTTCGAAAACATTTTGAATATTCACTTTGTTTTAATATTTTCATTACATGACATGGTGAATCTTCAACTGAATGGTTATCTTCATTTTGTTTTAGGAAATAAACTATTGATGATACACCGGATCCTAATTTTTTTGTTATCGTATATCGATCACCAAGTAAATCATCATTAGGATCTATATTTAATCTTTTATATTGACAAAAGTCAGTATCCATGGTTAAAGAATTTGTAATTATTTTCCATGTATCTCCATTAACACCTAGTTTTCTTGTATTTTCAGTTGTTGACATATCAATAGACGATAATGTTTCGGACAAATAAGTAAACATTTCTAATTCTTGACTTTGACAAAACTCATACGAATCCGAATCGGATTTCTTTGTCACATAAAAAAATTTGATGTGTGTATAATTACTAAGAAAACCATATATTTTTTCACGATGTTGTAGTATCAATATAATTGTCAAATATTGTAATATTTCTTCAATCATTGAATCTGTTGATAAAGAAACATGTGGAGATATTAAATTACCAAGACAAACAACAAAATCTTCTAAACATGGTTTTTCTTGATCAATATCGATATTTATATTTTTATATATAAATGTACAATTAGGATTAAACTTATTTTCTAAATAATATGAAGAAGATGTATTTAAATATTTCAATGATGTAGAATTATTCGATGCATTTAATAAATTAACAATTAACTGATCAAATCCTTTTTGAATTTCTTCTTCGTTTAATTTAGGATATGATGAAAATTGATTTGAATAATGTTCAATATAATTTGATATATTGTCATCAAAATAATTATTGTCCTTTAATGCTACATTAATATCGAACGATTGCAAATCATCGGGTACATCGATATCGTAAAAATAATTACGAAATGTAAATACATTACGACATCTTTTAATTGATGAAGCAAATTCAAGTTCTAGCTGTTTTCGTTCTTTTTCTCCAGCTTCACGTATTTGACGACGTTTTATTTTTTCGATTTTTATTATTATTTGAGTTTCACGTTGCATTATTGCAGTTTTACGTTGCATTTTTTCAAGTTCACCTTTCAGTTTTTCGAGCTCATCTTGATATTTTTTCTCTTCGATTAGTTCTATTTCTTCAGCTTCACTTTTTACTTTTTCAAGTTCATCCTGAAGTTGTTTCATTACTTGATTTGTTGTTTATTTCTCATCAAGTTGTTTTTCTATCAATTTTCGTACAGTTTCTTCTTCACCACCATTTGTAGCCATAGTTGTGTAGTTTTCTGTAATTTTATCTATAAGAAAAAAGCTTGTTAGCGCAGCCCCTTTGGGGCTAAAATGTGGAACTCACATATATCCCTTAGACTTACTAAAATAATTTAAAAGAGCTCATGTAAAAAATCTACTGTAATCTCCAAAATCTATAATTAGGTCATTACTTATTTGCTCATTCCTGTAATGAAGTATTACTTGTTAGTTGGTATCTTTAGCAATGGCAGATACTAGTTACTATGGTCTGTAATGGTACCGTAAGCTAGTTACTATGGTCTGTAATGGACAAGCGTTGCTTTTTCGTGAAGTCTGTAATTAAAAAAGGAAGAAATAGCAGCCTAATTAGTCAAGCTCCTAATTAGCACAATTTTAAACTCATTAATGTCTGTAATGGGGAGGGGGTGGGGTGGGGAGCCGCAAAAGTTCTCGCTTTTAAACTTACACTTTATTTTCTTCGAAAATATG